TTTAACAAAGAGAAATTTATTTCCTCACAGTAAAGTAGGCTAAAAGTCCAAATTCAGGGTGTCAGCTCCAGGGGAAGCCTTTCTTTCTCTGTCAGCCTTCTCATCAATCTTCCCTCAGACTAGGAGCTTCTCTGCACAGGGACCCGAGGTCCAAAGGACACGCTCTGCTCCCGGCACTGCTTTCTTGGTGATATGAGGTTCCGCTGTCTCCCTGCTCACTTCTCTCTTTTGTATCTCAAGAGACTGCCTCAAGACACAGTCCAATCTTGTAGATTGAGTCCTGCCTCACTAATACAGCTGCCACCCATCCTCCCTCATTAACATCATAGAGGCAGGATTTACAACATATAGGAAAATCACACAATACCAGGAATCATGGCCCAGCCAAACTGATACACACTTTTTTGGGGGGACGTAATTCAATCCATGACAGTCCTTATCTCCCTTTCTGTGACTGGTTCACGTGAGCCGTCACTGAGGTTCCCTTTGCGTTTGTACTTGGCCCCTTCCGGACACTCAGAAAAACCACACGGATGAAGTTAAACTGACTTTGCCTGTTTTTATGCATTTCAGAGAAGATTTATTGACTGCTCAGAAGGAAATCCTGTCCCAGCAGGAGGTCATCGTGAGGTTGAGGAAAGACCTTACCGAAGCCCATGGCCGAATGTCAGATTTGAGAGGTTTGTGCCATTTCTGTGTTTCCTGGCATCCTGACCTACTTCTTCAAGCGAGGAAAGAAACGAGGCTTCAGAGTTGGAAACCCTGGCACTCAAAACCCTGGTGGACCCCCTTTGTAGTACAGCCACTACACTTGTCATTCAGGGTCAGCAACTCACCAAGGACAAGGGGCCGTGGAAGTTGTCCAGAGGACTGGAGATGAAGCTTTGTTGTGCAGGGAGAATCTCCTTTACCCTCGAGAAGTTCCCTCTGGAAGCAAAGGCTTGGAGGGCAACCCCAGGCCAACTGGGGCAGGGCGGCCTGCACAAGCCTAGCACCCACTAGCTTTGGGACCAAGGGCAAGGTGGCCTCTCCATGCCTTCCCTTCCTCTGATACAAGACAACAACACCTACTTGCTAGAGCTGACGTGAACACCACGGGCCACCTAGAGTTGGGGTGTAATAACTGAGTTGTTCTGTCTTCTGGATGGACACAAACAACTCTGGCTTAAAAGTAAATTCCTACTTTGCTCTTCTTCTCTTTTGTTTCTGCCTCCCTTGTTCTTGCTTCTTATTGCCATCTTCTGTCTCCCATCCCTAGCCTCCATCAAGCCAAAAGGTATAGGCAGGCATTAAGAGATGTAACGAGGTTTGGGCAAGTAGAAGGAGGGAGAGGAAGACTCTTGTCTTGTCCCCATCTCATACCCTGTGCATCACAAAACCTTCAGAGATATTTTCTCCCTATGGCTGTTCCTATTAATACCCTCAGTGTATTTATGGCTGAATTTTTCGAAGAGCGATTTTTCCATACTAATGTATGAAAATGTATAGCACAGCCTACAATTTCCAGTTCTAGAGTCAGGAGACATTGAACCCACTGCTGGATGTGCTATTTGTTAGTTGCATGACCTTAGGCAAGTCACCTTACCTCTCTGAACCTCAGTTACTACATCTGTAAAGTGGGGGTGTTAATAGTAACTACCTTGCAGAGTTGCTATGATGATTCGAGGTAATGCAGGTGTCTTTCTTTGGGGTCCTCCAGAAGCCAACCCTCAGAGCAGAATTCCTGTGCAGGCAATTTATTTGAGAGAGAAGTCCAGGAACCAGCAGTATGGGAGTGAGGAAGTGAGACAGGAAAGGGAAGAAAGCAAATAAAGGGTGTGTTATCAGTCAGGTTACAGTGGGCAACTGGAGCTTAATTCTGCTGCGGAATGTTGGGGAACAGTGTAGAACATATGCTTCCCAGGTGCCCCACCTGAAGGGCGAGGGAGTTGGGAATGTATACACCAACTTCCATCAGCCGTTGGTTGGAGGTTGTTGCACCTGGCAGACACATAAGCAGAGCAGGCTCCAGAAGCCTTAGAATGCCCAAAAATACCAAAGGGACACGGGTTGGGCCTGAACAAGCATGTAAGGCAGGAGTGCACAGTGCCTCACAGAGAAAGCACTTGTGAAAAGGCAATGATTGTGAGTTACGTTGCTGTCATTAGCGAAGGCACAAGCAGACCTCCTGGCTGATAGTAAAGCCCCTGAGAATTCCCGGAGGCCGGATCCACCTTGTGGTTCTAGTAGGCCTGGCAGAACAGCTGTGGCCCTAGCCGAGACCCAAAGCAGGAGACCCCTTCATGGGTTTTCATGTCGCTCCCAGGGGAGCTCAACGAGAAGCAGAAGATGGAACTGGAGCAGAACATGGTGCTGATCCAACGACAGAGCTGCGAGCTGAGTATGCTTAAGGAGAAGATGGCACAGGTGACCAGCGTGGTGGAAAAGAAGGACAGGGAGCTGGAGATCCTCAAGGAGGCGCTAAGGTGCGTGGGAAGGTCCACATGGCGTAGGGGAGCCCTGGCATACCCAAGTGCCTGGGGAGCCTTGCACAGAGAGACGCTCAACCAGTGCTGGTTGGGCAGGTGGAAGAATGAATGAATGAGTATATTATGTTTCATTGCTTCACAGCCTCATCAATTAAAGCAGGGCTTTGCTTAGTTCTGTTTCTCAAACACTCCTGCCTAATATTCCAGATGACAGATCTCAGCTTAAATGCCGCTTCCACTGGGAAGCCCTCCCTCACCCACCCTCACCAAACGTGGCCAAGGGCTCCTGCTCTGCCTGTAGTCCCTCAGCCCTGCACTCCGCCTAACCTAGCACTCACCACATGGCAATGTTACTATTGCCTGCTCAGTTGTCTGCCCCCCCACGAGGACAGGGTCTTATTGACCCGGCCAATCATTGACTCCCCAGCACCTACTAGGGCCTGGCACGTAAAGGGAACTTAATAAATGTTTATTGAAAATGAACAATTTATGTATTGAAATGAACACACTAGGAGTGTCAGAGGTCAGCTTAAAATAAATATAAAATGCCGGTGTTGTCCTACGTCCCATGTCTAAGAAATATATATGATTTTGCATTTTGTCCAGAGCTTATCCATATTATAACGTAAGAGTAACGTTTAAGTAAACTTCATGTTTCCTGTGTATCCTGTAGCTTTGTGGGCCTCATGGGCACGGCCAAGGCAGATTCACAGAGAGGTTAAAAGAACAGACTGCCGATCCAGACTGCCTGGGTTCAAAGCCAGACTCTTCCATTTCCAAGCTCTGTGACTTTGGGCATATTGCAGCGTGTCTCTTTCCTTATCTGTAAAATGGAGCAAGGAGAGTCCCAGTTTATGGGATTATTATGAGGAATAGATGAGTTAACACATATAAAGTGTTAGAAATAGTGGATATGCAGCAAGTACCTCAGTAAATCTCTGACAGGTGTCCTACAGACCCAGGGTAGGTGGCAAGAGTTGTGCCTACAGCTCTGGCCACTATTCTCCATTGTCGTTGTTAGGTGCCGTTGAGTTTATTTTCCACTCATAGTGACCCCATGTGACAGGGTAGAATTGTCCCATAGGGTTTTCTAGGCTGTAATCTTTATAGGAGCAGATTGCCAGGTCTTTCTCCCAAGGAGTCGCTAGGTGGGTTTGAACTGTCAACTTTTCAGTTAGCAGCCAAGCGCTTGCTTAACTGTTGTACCACCGGTATTCCTTACTATCCTCTAAGTCCTCTAAAGCTAAATTCTCCAGAAGTCTGGTGCAGGAGACTTGAAGACTCTAAGAATCAGTTACCTATAAAACAGCTCCCTTTCCTGTTTTGCCAGTGGGTACAAAGGTAGTTTATGGTTCCAGAACCTTGTGCTGTTGGCATCCTGCTGCCCAGTGACTCCTCCTCTCTGCCCTAGGGCTTCCCAAGAGAAACACAAACTCCAGCTGAGCCCTGAGAAGAACGAGAAGCCCAGGAGTACAGCCCAGATGCGCGACATCTCGGTGCAGATGGAACCAATCCACACCGATATTTTCTTGAGCAGCCAAGAGGTGAGTGGCCACCCAGTTCTGGGCACCTGGAAGGACATGTGAAGAAAAAGCCCCATGGTGGCTCTCTTTCCTTGTTTAGAAACATATTTTTATTTTCAATTCCAAAGGTATTGTTTGATTGTATGAAATGTAAAAAGTGAAGGCCTCGCCTCTCCGCTTGCAGTCACCAGAGGTTACAGCTATCAAGTTTGACACGTGTCCCATGAGACCTTTTCCATGCAGAGACCACCATATGCACATACAACCCTGAATGTGCAGTGGTTGGAGGATCAGGCTTAGATCCAGCCAGCCTGGGTTCGAATCCCAACTCTTCCACTTAGAAATTCTGCAACCTCGCGGAAGTTACTCTTCGTCAATTTCCTTGTCTGTAAAGTGGGTGTCATGACAGTCCCCACAGCATGGGGTTATTGAGATTAAATGTTATTTCTATACACACACCAGAAAAACCCATACATATATATATGTATTTAATAGACAAAGTTTTACAAAAAATAATGGTATAAAACCATATATACTCTGCAACTTTTTTTTTCACTTAACACTATTTAATGGGCATCTTGTTAAGTCGGTATAGAAAGACCTACCTCATTATTTTAAATGGCTCCATAGAATTCCTTTGTGTCGCATTTATCCAATCAGTCTCCTATTGATGGACCTAAATACTGTTTCTAGTTTTGCACAATGCTGCAGTTAATATCCTTGCACATATATAGAACAGATTCCTAAATGTGAAATTACTGGGTCCAACCAAAAAAACCAAACCCATTGCCATCGAGTCGATTCTGACTCATAGTGACTGACCCTACAGAATAGAGTAGAACTGCCCCACAGGGGTTCCAAGGAGAAGCTGGTGGCTTTGAGCTGCCGACCTTTGGGTTAGCAGCTGAGCTCTTAACCACTGTGCCACCAGGTCTCCAAAGGACATCCTAAACTGCACTTGACGCAGCCAAACCACCTTCTCAAAGGGCCGTGGCTGCTTCATGGTGATTTCTGTGTGCACCTGCCCAGAAACCTTTGCATGCCTGCAAGTCCCGGGTACCCATCAAACAGGAAACATATCTCTGAGTGAGAAGAGCCATCATCACGGGGGCCTCGAAGCTGGCACCTTTCCCTGTGATACTCTTGATCATTAGTATTAGGCTAATTGTGGGGTGCGGTGGTTCCTCAAAGCCCTGGGTTTCCTCGAGTCCAGGGATATCCTTTACCCCCTGGTGAGTAAATAGAAAAGCTTTATGAAATGAGAGAGCAGGGCCTTTCAGTAATAGGCTTTGGATTTTCAGCTGGAAACAGGGCCAAATGTGTCAGCTTGCCTTCCTGCTCTCTCCAAATGCCTTTCCCCTGCCAAACAGCAGAGAGCCAGGGCCTCAAACAGCTTGAAAGAAAGGGCTCCGCAGTCCAGCCGGCCGTCTTTGGCACTAATCACTGTCCAGAGCACTGTAACAGAAGGGTCTCATTGTCAGGGCAACGAAGAGAGAGCAGAGAGGGTCTATATGACCAGAAGCTATGTGGTGCAGGGACCTGGGTCACTCTGGTTGGAATCTGAAACTCTTAGCACAGGACCTGGTCTGTGTTTGTTCACTTGTTCAGCAACTATTGAGTATCTGTTGTATGCTAGGCCCTGGAGTCCCAGAGTGGCGTAAATGGTTAAGCACTTGAGTACTAACCAAAAGGTTGGCATTTCAAACCCTCCCAGAGGTGCCTCAGAAGAAAGGCCTGGCAACTGCTTCTGAAAGCTCACAGCCTTGAAAACCTTGTGGAGCACAGTTCTACTTCGAAACACATGGAATCGTCATGAGTTGGAATCGACTCAACAGCTACTGGTTTGGTTTTTTGTGCTGGGCACTGGGAAAGTCTCACAAGGTCCCTGCCAACACCAGTGTCTTTTGAACTTTGCACATGTTGGTTGAAATGGACTGTTGAACTGGGAGGCTGCGATTTTTAGCTTCTTTGATGACGTGGGATGAGATGAGGAGGATGGGGGAGGGAGGCCGCAAGATAAAAGGGGAAAAAGGATTTTTTTTCCTCAGAACGGTTTTCCACACTCAGGCCACTTCCTGCTTTCTAAGCCAGAGTGGGTCAGAGGGCTTAAGAGTTGTATGAGAAAGAATCTCCATCTTTTCTAAATAAATAAATTCCCAGAGCAGTCATGAATAAGGGTCACATGGAGCTCTGGTGCACTCTTCAGCAGAGCTAAAGTCTGTCACCAAGCCTCCCTGCTGTGGCTGTCCCACTGCTCCCCTAAACTCAGTGGCTCCTGCCCACTTCTTCACACTTTGGCAAACACACACACGCACGCAACATTTCAGATAATTTATTCCCAGGGCAGAGGTGCACCTTCAAAGAGATGAGTGAGACCAGCGTGGAACCTCCTCGGGAAGCAGACTGACTGTGCAGCCTGAAAATAGGCTAGAGCCAGCATCCAAGGACAAGCGAGGGCCTACTAAGTCCAGCTGGGAGTGGAGCACCTCTTTCTCTTGGCTGCTTATTTAATATTTATGAAAGGAATGAATGAGTGAATAAATGAATAGTTTACCCTAGAGAAGCATTTTTTAATTTGGAGTCCTTGAATGGGTTTCTGGGCATCCTTGAGCCTCCAGAAGTTGTATGCAACTGTGTGTGAGTGTGTGTGTGTGTGTGTGTGTGTGTGTGTGTCAATTTTTCTGGAGGAACAATCCCTTCATTCTTCTGAATCTCAGTAGGGTGCATGACCCTTAAAAGATGAAGGAGGCCCTTTCCTCGCCTGTGTCCTTCATAAACTCCAATCTAGCTCCATGCTGTCCAATATAGTAGCCACTAGCCACATGTGGCTATTTAAATTTAAATCAAGTCAAATTAAATAAAACTAAAAATTCAGTTATCATTTGCTCTAGCCACTTTCAAATGCTCAGTAGGCACATGTGGCTAGTGGCTGCCATATTGGATGGCACAGATATGGAGCATTTCCATCATGGCAGAAAGTTCTGTTGAACACGGCTCCTCCAGAACTCTCAGCGGTTTTCCTTCCTCTAGACCAGCCAAGAGCCAGTCTATCAACTTTGCCTAGAAAATATTAGGCGACCATCTTTATTACCAGTTAGAAGAAAGTATCATGTATTCTCATCTACAAATGCCCTTCCTGGAGTAGAATTTGATTTGACTGTTCAGAGACAAGACCAGAATGACAACAAAAGAAACCTAGGCTTCAAAGAATTAGCAGAAGAAAAAATAAATGAAACATGGAATGGGAGTATAGCAGAGAACTTTTATTTACAGTGATGCTAAGTAGGTAGGAAAGTTGGAAATCTTCGTAGATGTAATGTTATGTTTGAGATGAACATTTAAGTTCCTTCTCTGCTGAACCCTCTTGTGATACTTTCAAAGGTAGTAAGTGACAAGGTTTCTGCTGTATATAAATTGTAACCGCTTCTTAAAATATAAGAGCAGTACTCTATTCCCTAATAACGCTGGTGTCTGGATCCTTCGGGCCACAGGAGCAATCCTTCAGTGATCTGGGAGCCAAATGTAAAGGGTCCCGACATGAGGAAGTCATTCAGCGTCAGAAAAAGGCCTTATCTGAACTTCGAGCACGAATTAAAGAACTTGAGAAGGCCTGCTCATCAAGTAAGTTTCTTTGTTTTTATTCTCTCTCTGAGGATCCCTGGTGGTACAGTGGTTAAACGCTCGGCTGCTAACCAAAATTTTGGTGGTTCAAACCCACCAGCAGCCACTCCACGGGAGAAAGATGTGGCAATCTGCTTCCGTAAAAGATTACAGCCCTGCAAACCTTATAGGGCAGCTCTACTCTGTCCTGTAGGATTGCTGTAAGTTGGACTCGACTGGATGGCAATGGGTTTTTTTGGGTTTTGTTTTTTTTTTAATTCTCTCTTCATACTCAGAGCAGTGGGCACCAGACTCTGGAGATTCACTTCGAGGACTGACAGTTTTGCCGGGACTCCCATCTTGTATCGCCGTCATTTCATAACAGAAAGGACAATATAACACAAAACAGATGGGCAGGACATGGTATCGGAGTCAAGTACAGTCATTGATACTAAACAGGATTTTACGAAAAGTTCACTACATTGTCCTTGTTTTTCTTATTTTTCCTGGTGGAACCTTTGTCATGGACCAACACTGTACAAAAATTGACACTGAGGAGTCTTTCAGAGTACCCTGTTTAGAGAAGAGGAGTCCCTGGGTGGCACAAACGAGTAAATGCTCAGCTACTAACTGAAAGGTTGGTAGTTCGAACCCGCCCAGAGTCACCTCAGAAGAAAGGCCTGGTGATCTGTTTCTGAAAGGTCACAGCCATGAAAACCCTATGGAGCGCAGTTCTACTCTAACAGTGGGTCATGAGTCAAAATCCACTTGAGAGCAATTGGTTTTTGCTTTTTTTTTTAAGTATTAGCTATAATTATTACATGAAATCATTTCTTACTGAGCCTTGCTTTTGAGTCTGAATTATTATTTCTCTTGTAGATCATAAGGACCAACTGGATGAATCATTTCTAGAATTAAAGACTCCCAGAATGGAAAAAAATGTCCAGAAAATATTATTGGACACAAGACCTGATTTTCCAACTCTCTCCAGGATAGAGGGCCGCGTGGTAACCAAAGCTAAAGAAAGTTTGGGTGTCGCAGCTGCCTCTGCAGTGGCTACACGTGCAGGGGGTGGGCATGAGGGCTGATGTCAGTGGTGTGGCCTGGCATGGCCGTGCTATCAGTGGTTCAGGGCCAGGTCCTCCCTGAGGGGCTGGGGTCTGTACTGACTGGTGCCCTTGGTGCCCTGGTGCCCTTGCCAAACCTATTGTCCAATATTTGAATGGAAAAGTGGTCTTCCATTTTACACAGCCTTGACATATCATAGCACTGACATTGGGCCATGTCAATTTCTAAAGCATGGTGGGCCCCTCTTTTCATGTCATGCATTATATGCTCCAGAAAATGTTCAACAGGGTAACTTCTTAGGCCATGAATTTGCCTAAACTCTGCTTTTTGCTATAAATTGAAAAATATGAACGCATAACAGGTAGCAGGAGGGAGCCATGATTAAGAGGACATGGGTTCTAGACTCAAGGAGACCTATATCCAAATCCCAGCTCTGCCAGCAGTGTGACCTTGGGCAAGACTCTGAACCTTTCTGGGTCTCTACTCCGCAGCTGTAAAATGATGATGAAAAATTAGAGATAATTATGTCAAGTGCTTAGCCCAGTGCCTAGCTCATGGTTAACACGTAATAAATGACAGCTGCTATTATTAAATATTATCATTTAAAATATTGTTGTTCAAGAAAACGTTCCCTTCTTAAGGGTGTACAGTTTTTTATTTACCAGAATTTTTAGAAATGATTCAGTTGTTAGACTGAAAGTGCCCTCATGCCCTAAGTGGGTGTTTCATCGGGTGTTTGTTTGACATGTGACAATGGACAGCTCAGGTCAGCGTCAATCACAGGGCCCGCTGGGCGTGTGCTTACTGCCACAGCTAGATCTAAACCATACACAGGCTTTGAAAAGGAATATTGGAGCCACCTTATCTGTGCCAGCATTCTCTCCAACAATTTTCTAGACATTTGCTAGAGCGTAGGATGTGGGTCTTAGGAAATTTGTTGGTTTTCTTGGTAAAACCAAACACTCATGTTGCAGTGTTGTGAATGGAGGGAAAATATCCTGTTTGGAAGGTCAAGGGACTCATAGACTGGCCTTGCCTCTAAGACTTACCTTCCCCTTGGTGATGACCTCTAATCCCACCACTGACACCACAGGGCTTGAAACCTCCTGACTCTCTTGTAAGACCACAATCCTCCAAGGCTGGCAGTAATAAAAACCAAAAGAAATAGGAAGGAGTAGGAGGAGAAGAGGAGGAATAGCTGACCTTTACTGGGTGCTTGCTGTATGCTAGGCACTGAGTTAAGCCCTTTATACACATTATCTCATTTAATCTTTGCAGCAGCGCATCTGTCATAATTACTGTTATCCTCATTTTACAGGTAAGAAAAATTAAGCCTTCAGGAAGTCAGGCACATCACCATGGTCACAGAGATAGTGAATGATGGAGCCAGGACTGTGTCTCTGGCTGTCTATCTCTAGCACCCCGCTAGTCTGCAGAGTAAAGGATGGGGACTGTGTAATTGAATCCTGTAGCCCAGACTCTTCCTGAGTGACCCTCTCTCAGGAGTCCTGCCACCTTCAAGAAAAGAGGGGAGATCCTGGAGGTGGTCCAGAGGACACAGCTGAGGGGAGCTAGAGACACCAAACTGCATTTCATATTCTGCAGCAAATCTGCCAAGTTTGTTGTCATGTTCAAATACTCTATTTTATTCTCATCTCTATGTCTACCACAGTCGCTTTGGGACCTTGATATTTTTGTAATTGAGTTTCCAAAACCACTGGTCTTGTCTGTTTACAGCGCAGTGCCAACAAATGCTGTGGGCTAAAAATGCAAGCCCTTAAAACCCAATTTAGTTTTAAGGGTATTTATTGTGGCTATTTGTGGTCCTTCAGATTCCCTGATTAGTCTAGTGGGTTTGCCATGCAGGAGGTTAAGGTTCTCAGCAGCCAGCTGGCTGATCAGGGTCTTAGTGGATGCACAGCGACCAGTGTTACCCTGCCTTGTCTCTGGCCAGAGTCTGAAGCAATGCTCACCTACCAGTTTCCAGCACCAGGAGAACATTTGGCCAAATTTTGTGAAGTCATAGTTTCCTTTGCAAAAATGAGGTTCCTTTAATAAAAGAGGGATGTTTCCTATTTAACCTTCATGCATTCATTCCCCAAACATGCCTACTGTGTGCCACTCCATACCAGGCACTGTGCTTAGCACAAGGGGTGAGATAGTGAGCAAAGAGCAACATAGCATAGTCCTTGTTTTCAGCATCTAAAGCAGGGTTTCCCCATCCCAGCACTATCAATATTTTGGGCCAGAGAATTCTTAACTAGTGAGGAGGCATGGTGGCACAGTGGTTTAGCACTCGGCTGCTAACTGAAAGGTCAGAAGTTTGAACTCTCCAGCCGCTCTGTGGGAGAATGATGTGGCAGTCTGCTTCCCTAAAGACTGCAGCCTTGGAAACCCTATGGGGCAGTTCTGCTCTGTCCTGGAGGGTCACTATGAGTTGGAATCAATACAATGGCAACAGGTTTGGTTTAGTTTAGAAGCTCTGGTGGCTCAACAGTTAAGCGCTCAGCTGCTAGCCAAAAGGTTGGCAGTTCAAACCCACCCAGTGACTTTGTGGGAGAAAGACAGCTAAGAAAATCTATGTGGCAGTTCTGCTCTGTCACACAGGGTTATTATGAGTCAGAATTGACTCAACGGCATCCAGCAACAATTCTTTACTGTAGGGGCTGTCCTGTGCATTCTAGGATGTTTAGCAGCATCCCTGGCCTCTACCCACCAGAGGCCAGTAGCACTTCCCCGCACCCAGTTCTGACAACCAAAACTATCTGCAGATATTGCCAAATGCCTGCTGGAGGGGGAGGGACAAAAATCTCCCCCTGTTGAGAAGCACTGGCCTAGAGGAGAGACAGTCAGTGATCAAAGAATGAGACAGCTGATGTATAATTTCAAATAGAGAGCCATACCTCTGAAGGGTGGGAACACAGATCTAAGAAAGCAGTTGACAAAGGAAATCAGATGCAGACTGGATAGTCAGGAAACTGAAGTGAAAATCAATTCTCTTGAGTTACTATTCCATAACCACACAATGTTTTAACTTCTGGTTGTAAGAATTCATGATTGCATGCCAAGAGAGAATTTTTATTTCTTTTTTATTTCAGCCTCAAACCAGCCTTTCCAACTCAGGGCCCATTCTGACCATCGAGAAATCAGGGAAAACGGATGCATCCGAGGCTTTGGATCTCAGTGAAAAGCTGGTATGTACGTATCACATCCATGCGCCTTCTGCCCAGAGCCTGGGTACCCTGCAGTCAGTGTTAACCATACGGTAGTTTAACTAAACTTAATATACCTATTTAGTTGTTATAATAGCTCTGCAACACCCAGCTACTATCCCAGCATGGCTCAGAAATTGCATAACCGAATTCCTTGAAAATCTGGGTTGTTAGAATAAATGTGTATATCTGTTGTCATTTTTTTTCTTGGTTCTCGAAAAGGCATGGTGTAAATGGCTTTGAGGAAAATTAGAGTCATAAGAGTCCCAACTGCACTCATTTCCAAAGCATTTGTTTGTTCTCTGCAACGGGAGAAAATGAATGAACTAGAATTAGACATCTCGTGCAGTACCTCTTATCTGCACACTTGCCTCGTAGTACATGGATATGAGTAAAACGCTCGGGAGTCTGATGAACATCAAGGATATGTCAGGCCATGTGTCCATGAAATACCTGTCCCCAAAAGAAAGGGAGAGAGTCACCCAGCTTCGACAAAGGGACCTTGAGCTGGTGTTTGATAAGATCGCCCAACTCAAGAACCGGCTAGAGAGAAAAGAGGGGCTTCTGAGAGACTACGAGAAAGACATCGAACAGCTCAGGTACAGCCCCTTGCCCAGCCGAAAGGCCCCATCTCCCTTCTCCTGGCTAACCCTCAGGGCAGCGGCAAATACCTAGAACTGCGACAGAGGACGGAGCCCTGGTGGCACAGGAATTAAGAGCTCAGGCTGCTAACCAAAAGACTGGCCGTTCGAATCCACCAGCCGCTGCTTGGGAACCATGTAGGCAGTTCTACTCCGTCCTATAGGGTCACTATGAGTCAGAATCGACTCGACGGCAGTGGGTTTGGTTTTGATTTGGTGACAGAGGACAGAAGGCCTAGGGTGGCATAACTAAAATATTGGGAAGGGACAATGATGAAGACCTGGTAGAGGTAAATTGAAGACCTGGTAGAGGTAAATCTCTCCATGACAAAGTGGACACTGAAGCATTCACGTCTCTCCTTTCTGCTTTCTCTCTTAATAAACAAGCTCAGCCTTTTGTGAATCTTGACTTCTGCTTCACCCCTTGTGTGCTTTTAATAGTTCCGTCATATGTTCAACGCTGTCCATGCCTCCCTTTCTGGGAAGTCAGGCGGGAGGGTTTCATATCCTTTACACCCTCATGCTAAACTTATCCCACTAGTTAGCTATTTATTCTGCCCTCTGCTCCCCAAATTTTTGTTATTCTCTTCTGTTCCTAATGAAACCATTAAGTTAGGTGTATATGGAAGTATTTTGAGAGTCTCCTAGGTTTGGGATATTGATGAATGAGAAAGATGAGGAGAAAAGAGACTGTATCTTTCCTGTATGCCCAGGCAGAGCAAAGTGTCCATTCAGATGTACCAGTCACAAGTGTCCAAGCTGGAGGACGAGATCTACAAAGAGGCAGAAGAAAAGGCCTTACTGAAGGAGGCACTGGAGCGCACGGAGCACCAGCTGTGCCAGGAGAAGAAGCTCAATAGGACAATCAGGCAGCAGAAGGTGAGAGGCCCCTGCTTGGAGCAGAAGCTCTGAGGCTGCCCCTCAGCTCCCATTAGAAATAGCCAAGCATGGCCCAAAGAGAGTGCAGAACGCATTTACTGATGCAACAGAAGCTGGCAGAATAGCTTTAGCATCAGACAGACCTGGGTTTAGACTCTGGCTCTACCAGTTACTATGTGACCTTAAGCAGGTTTATTAACCTCTCTGAGGCATATGGTATTCATCTGTACATTTTTCAAATGATAGATATTATTCATATAAGGAGCCCTGGTGGTGCAGTAGTTAGGCACTTGGCTGCTGACCAAAAGGTCGGCTGTTTAAACCCACCAGCCGCTCCACAGGAGAAGGATGTGGCAGTTTGCTTTTGTAAAGATTTACAGCCTTAGAAACTCTATGGGGCAGTTCTACTTTGTCCTATCGGGTCACTATAAGTCAGAATTGACTCGATGGCAGTGGATTTGTGGGATTTTTTCTGTGACGGGGGGTGGTTATTATTCATATAATTATTGTTCTGCCATGTGCCAGGGATACGTAGATGAATAAACTTTCTGAGAACAGAGATTTGGGTTAACTATTCTGAGTGTCTGGTACATAGTAGACACCAACAAATAGTTTTTGAAAGGATGGTAGATAAATGGATGGATGGATAGATGGTTGAGTGGGTGGG